CAAACACTTGAATTCCTGCTATTGTGACGTTGGTGTCAGTGTTGATTGCATAACCCTGATGAACTGAGTTGTGTGTGTTGTTGCATGTCTGGAATCACACCAAACTGCTCAGCATTCGTTTCTTCAGCTCCTGCTGTGTGTTCCTGTGCTGAATGACAGCCTGGAAAGAGAAGGGCAGATAGAGCTGGAAGGAATATGGGGGAAAGGAGATGGCACTCTTCCCACTGGAGATTGTTGGAGAAAAATATTCCCAGACATATTTTCCACAAGAAGTACTATACAAATTTACCACTATCTCTTTAACATTCCCAAGCTTGCATATTGGTTTAACAACAGTTTACCAACTATTGCATCTGTTTGTCCCAAATCTAGCATTATATCTTTGTTGGCGGATTGCCTTGTAGAGTTAGTTAACCTGTGTCTTCTCCCATCCATCTAGTATATATAGCATTTACTTTGGGATTGTAGACAGGTAACCATGCAAGGAATTATTTAGACACAGGTCTTACCTTTGTTTTAATGCCAATCCATTCACTTACAATTCAGTTTAAAGTTGTATTTCTGTTTAATATATTTTAAATAAGTCTTGAATAAATTTGCAAGCAAAAAAAAAAAAGAGTATTTCTCTAACTCTTAATGTTGATCCAAATCCAGAAGATTTGAAGAATTTAGTACACAACTGATGAGAGGAATAGTTTTTAAAATACTACAAATTTTAGTATGTGTTTTCAGGTCCTGCAGGAGATCCATATAGAAAGCATAGGGAAGATTATTGGTTATCTTAAAGGGGCTGATGCATGTGCTCTAGTAGTAGAAAGACCGTTTTACCTGTAGATAAATAATTTGTCCTGCCTATCTCTTTTTATTATGTAAGAGAAGGGAAGTATGCTAACTCTGATGTTTTCTGAAGTATTGCTTTTTTGATCATAGCATAATAAGATTTCTTAAATTGCAGAGTAGCCAAACAGCTTCATTCAGTTTAACAGCACAACATTTAGGGACGTTTGCAGTATAACAGCTTTATTGCTTTCAATGATTGATCTCTTGTTTACTTATTGTCTTGTTTCCAGTTTAGGACAATGATGGCACAGATCAGCTGGAGGGGATTTTAGCGCAGATATATTTGTGTCTTTTGTTGCTGTATTTTAATACATCTTCCTTGATAATGTTTTCAGCATTTACTAGCAAAGCAGTAGTTATTTTTGCAAGTTTATGTTTTTGTGAGATAAGATTTCTGGGTAAAACCTTTTAGATAAACACATTTCTGAAGACATGTGATTGTAATACTACCTTAGTCTAACTATACAATTACATGTGAGAGTAAATATTATTCAATATTAAACCAAACCAAACTTAAAATGCCAATCCAGTCCTTGATTGTTTATATGCTATGATTTCAGGCCAAATCCTTCTCCAGTCTTTTGCTTAGTTATACCCAATCGGTTATAGATATGGAAAGTGAAATTAATAGGATGTTTATGAACAGAAATGGAATTTTATATCATATTAATCCTAAAAGTAGTAGGAAACTTGCTTGTATAGTCCTCAATACTTTTTCTCTAATGCGTTTTTCTGTAGTGTACTGTAAAAATATGTGAAAGTCATGAGATAAAGTATTTTATCAACACTTATTTGGGATGGCTTTGTAATGCAACTGTGTGTTTATGAATTGCCAAAAAAGTCCCATATCTGTAATGCTAATAAGATCACATTACAATATATAGCTTTTACTTTCTCTCTTAGGTAATTTATGGAAATGGTGTGAGCTTGCACACAAGCATAGCTTTTAATACCCCATATTAATATATGTGTACTCTGGAATATATTTGTATCTTTAAACTTACAGGTTACTTGTATCACTGTGCTGTTTTGGAAACAAAAAACATAAGCTAAGAAATTCTTCATGTAAAAATTTCTTCATGTATCTTTGATATAAGTGGATTTCCACCAGGAGTATAATTGAATTAAGGAATATATAGAATACATTTTTAAAGCAGGCATGAATTCTCGTTTAGCCTTCAGATGGAATTACATAAAAAGTAGTTGAAAAGAAAGAATTCTTAGTTTATACGATTTTTTGGGTAACTGTTGATTCCTAGTGCTTGCAACTGAGGTAATTACATATCAACTTTTCCCCCTTTATGTGCACTTGTGTGAGAGAGTCAAGATGTTATTCACAGGAAGATTTTGTAAACTTTTATTTAATAGTAACTTGAAGCCATATATAGAAAGAGTGAAAATCATGGCTTTTATTTGATGGCCAGTAGGTAACCACCTTCTAATACCTGTTCTCATGATGTTCTTTCTGAGTGTTTAAGTAATGGCAATGATAATTCTGCATTGTTATTGCTACTGTCCGACTGTTTTCAATAGGTTTATCCTGCAATAGTGTTTTACCTGCTGTAGTATACCTGGAGTCCACTTCATTAAATTTTGCCATTTTGCAAGAAGCTTGTCTTTGCTCATATATCAGTTCTAAGACATTCAATTCTTGTTTGCTACAGCTTGCTCTTATTTATAGTTAGAATCACAGTGACATGAAGGATATCAAGCAGATCTTAGATTCTTTTTGAGCTGTCCGGGTTATATTCCTACCCTTAACATTCTAAACAGAAAAGTTGGACAAATGGTAGGAGGGAGAGATAGCCTAAAATGTTGCTATAGGCCAGTGGTACATAGGTCTTTGATCATTAGCATGCTGTACAGTGAATTTTCTTTCATCCTCTGTGCAGCCATTTGAGCTGCAGAAGCAAACAGAAAAGAAAACATTGTAGCAGCCTCTTCTTTTTCAGAGGGGGGAATAGATGGAACAGTAAACATACTTTGATCCAATATATCAAGATGACCAAAAAAAGTGTCGGTTATTCAAATTCCTCACTGTAGGGTCTAAAAAGAATGTTAATAAATAGGTGTGTGTGTAAATGTAGTGGAAAATTTCTGATTTTTGAGTGAAACGTTAGGGTATTCATTCGTGCATCTTGCAAAAGGGACTTTGGTTGCATACTGATGTCTGAACAAAGTTATTTCTGTCCTGTTTTGTTTTTTTGTGCTAGTACAGGCTGCTTCTTCATATAACGTGGCAATGCACGTCTCCATATAGGGATACTTGGTGCACAGACATAAAGATCTGTATCTAGCAAGGCAGCAGAAAGGACTGGTTATATTCCTTTGGTGCACTTGGTAGTTATGGATAGAATTAATTAACATAGTTTTTGCTCAAAAGTGACATGCCGGTCCATGACAACAAAAAGTGTTTGTTCCTGATGACAGTCATTCACTTCTACTGGTTCAGAAGGCTTCCCTGAAGGAATTTTAATTGATCTGCACTTACCCAAAATAAATCAGAAACACTGCTGTATCCTAGAGATTAAAGCAAAAGAGAAGATAATGGCATACAGAGTATATGATGTTTAAGGTTTGCTTTGAGATGAAACTTGGGACATGGAGATGCTGACTTGCATTTATATAAGTGTTGAACTGAGTGAAACTCATGGATGAAGTTACAGACTCAAACCCATGAGACTGATGAACAACTTGAGAAGCAGACCCTTGCTTTATAGCCCTCCACTCTGGCTGCCTTGGGACTGCAGATTGGAGAGAAGAAGGCTACTGCTGCTTTACAGTAAGACTTCACTACATGCTTAATAAATTTGATTGATATTTCCAAAACACCATCACCGCTGAAAAAGTAAAATAAAATCAAATGAGGTAGCAAAGTGCAGAGGATCATGGGATTTCACTTTGTTGCTCGAAAGGATCTAGCCTGTACTTCAAATACAACTAAGATTAGACGCCCTGTGTACCTGATGCAGTAATTCTGGTTCTTGACTGGTGAATAGATCAGTGTAGAATGGATATAAAATTTGTTGACTTAGCACTACCATAAACGAATATACAAGGAGATAGGACAAGTCATCCTGCTTCAGACCAATGATTCACTTAGGCCATCCTCTATATCCAGTGATGACTGTCTTCCAAGGGTACCTCTACTCTCCCTTTTGACTCATGAAACCTCCTTGCATCAACAGCATCCTTGGGAAGAAACTCACAGTTCTGCTACCCAATTTTTGGAGAAGAAACTCCTACATTTCCTTTTGGACTTGGCTTTTACGAGGCAGATCTTGAATTCAAGGGATAGCGAACGGACAATGTCTGTGCAACTTTTCCTTCTTCTTCACACTTTTGTCATTTTCTATCGTGCCCTTCCTTAAGTCATCTCTTTTCCAGTCTGGATCGTGGTGGTATACTGAATTCTTCCTTATATATGGAAACCATTCTAAGCCTTTGATCATGTGTATTTTCTTCTCTGAACCTTTGCTAGTTAGTTCTGTTGCTTTGTGTTCTTTGCTGGACAAGAAACTGGATCATGCTTTTCAAGATAGGGATTGATACAATAGCAAGTGATGTGTTAACACTTTGTTCTTTATTTCTTTCTCAATAATTTTTACCATTCAGTTTATAGATTTGACTTGAATGGGGTGGTGAGTTTTAAGTTTTCGTGGAGCTACCCATCATAAACCCCAGGTCTCACTTTCTGACCAGTAAGACATAGTGCAATAGAAAGCTGTTTTGTTTAACAGAAGATTCAGATTATAATATTTATCAATAATGGCTAGCCAAGGTGGTTTCCAGTGAACCTGTGCTCAGCAAATTGTGATTGCTTCCTGAGCAGTAAGTATTCACAGTGTCTTCGTGGTACAAAAGAAATAATCAATAATGTAAAATTATCTTTTAATTTTGCGCTTGCTCTTTTAAAGTAATTTAATCTTGTTATTTTGAATCTCAGAAGTGAAGTAGGTGACTGCTTTAGGAGTAGTGACTACTTCACATATTTCATACATAGAAAGATGTGAGATGTGTACAATTTCTTTCTGCGTGTGCAGTACATGTGTGTAAGAATGACCCTGAAGTGTATTTTAAAGAGATGGTTGTAATACCTTGCTATAAAACACAATACAGATCCTTGCACTTACTGTGTTCCCTTCCATTTTTATTCTTAGATAACTTCAAGTGAAAGTTAAGGACCTTTTGTCCTTATTTGCCGTAGAGGAGACAGACACTTTTGTAAGGAGCACCAGTTTGAGCAAAAAGGAAAAGACCATCCCTTCCCACAGCACAGCAAAGTGACAAAGACTCTGAAGAAATGTAAGTGATTTATAACTGAACGGTGGCTATGGCTGTTTCTACTGTGGATTTATATGGTCTGTAGGAGGAATACAGTACCACATCACTGAAAAGTATTGCTTATAGATGTAAAATATGGTTTAGGAAAAAATTTGTAGAGCATACAGAAAATACGTACCACTTCTATGTTTGTGTGATGGTAAGCTATGCTACAATTATTTTTTTTTTCCAAATGGCAATTGTTAATGGGAATGAAATGCTGTAAGAGTCACAAACTTGCTTTTCTACCATTCTCTATTCATCTAGATCTGGGTTAATTTAAATAGGTAGAAATTAAGTGGCTGAATCTCAGACATCCTAGATTTGCTTACCCTCAGGAGGGAAGCAGGCATCTCCAGAGGCCAGTCCAGCTCATTCTGAAAGTAATGCCTGGGGAATGAAGTATTACTACTCACTCAATAGCTTGTGTTGACTGCTAAGCTTTAGCCTAAGTGTTCAGTGGACATTTTAACCTGGCACATCTGTGTCAGATGCAGTGCCAGCTTCTTTTCTCCTCCCCATATTGTTGTTCTTCCTCACGCAACACGTGTGGCTGTTCATAAATTTGGAGAATGGATCTGACTGAAAATAACCAATTATTTGTAAGGTTTTGTTTTCAGCTGGGTTTATCCCAGCCTTCTCCTATATGGGTGTCCAAGGACTGTCACTGGTACAAAGGGTGATGGGGGTGGGAATTAGCAGCCAAAAGTGTGGGGGAGCACATGATAACTTCTTTTGGCAGCTGTGCTAGTTTCTGCAGCTTAAATTGCCTGGTGAGCTATAGTCTCAGACCTTGTAGATATTTTTAGTGCTCTGTCATTTATAAGAGTGAAAAAATGTGAGTGAGGCACTCTTACTTATTATCTAAATGGGGAACTACTGTTTTGTTGTGCATTTCACACTGTGGTAGTGCAGAGTCTTCTCTGTCCTTTATAAATTAAAAGTCAGGCTTCCAAACCCAGAAAATGGTCACCAGTGGCTAGCAAGTAAGCAGGTGTCTTATAGAGATTTATAGTGTAGGCATGATACTGTAAAATTCATATATACATACATAATTTCTGAATCTTAAAGATGATAGCCTGATTTTGTATAACACCAAGCATGATGTGTGGGTTGGGTGATACCATATGATTAATGGCTGGACTAATTTAGGCACAAGATCCCTGCTTCTCCTGAACAGTAAAATACTGAATAACATTTCATTCTCACAGTAAATACCTGATGGGAGGGTGTAAAGAAGATAAAACTAGACTTTTCTCATTGCCACTTGGTGACAGGATGAGAGGCAGTGGGTGCAAACTGAAAACAGAAAATTAAATTTTGTTTCCATTGAAAAATAATGTAAAAAACTTCTTTACCAGGAGGATGGTCAAACACTGGAGCAGATTGCCCAAAGAGGGTGTAGAATCTCCATCCATGGGCATACTGAAAACCCAGTGGGGCAAGTAGCCTGCTGCATCTGACCCTGCTTGATCAGGGATTTAGATTAGATGAGCTCCTGAAGTCCTTTCCAACTTTAGCTATTCTATGATTCTGGGGATAATTATAGGTAAGCAAAATCAGAAAATGTCCTGCTATTTTATTTTATGACGTTTAAAGTTTAATTGTTAAAAATAATTTTTATATTTTGATGTATTTAGATACTCGGTATAGTCTTTTACTTAAGTTTTGTCTAAAAATGAGACATGGCAGAATTTGAGAGCTTTCTAAAATGTGTTAAATAATATTTCAAGACTTTTAATTATAACTATGAAAATCACATTGAAGTCTGTGAAAATATCTTTTAGCTGTGAATTAGCACCATGATTCACATGATGTGGACAGTCACATGATGGGGATTTTAGATGTTTAAAATAGTATCTTTTTCACTTGATCCATGGCAAGGAAAATACATTTTTAGTATCATTTTGTGTTGGAAAAAAAAAGACATAACTAGGAACAGAGCCTTGCAGGAGAGCTCCATTAATCTCCAATAGAAATAGCTGTCTTCCTGAAGTCTTTTCAGAGGTCAAGGAGACGTAGAAAGTGACTTAAAAATGCATTATAAACTGTTTTCAGTTATTTGCAAATGGGTATTATGAGATAGTCCATAATTCAAGAGGATACCAATGTAAACATGTAAAAACTGGTCAAAGGTGCTGTGAGACTTCACAACATTGCCTTTTATCTTCTATGAATGTGTGATTGAGGGGCTTCCTTGTGTTTTGCAATACTTAGGAGAAAGGAACTCTCTCTTCAAATGTCAGCTTTCTCAGCTTTCTTGAATTTTAACTTTGATTATTTTGGCACACATTTTCTGTTCACAGTTTTGCTATAGGTAAAAGTTTCTGTCAGATGGGTGTATAATTTCTGAAAATGAAAAAAAAAGGTCTAAAAAAAGGTCTGCGACCTCTTCTTTGCTTTTGAGCAAGGACTTGAAATTTAAAAGGAAAGCTTTAATGGGTTACAAGATGTGTCTTTTGCCATGCTTCTGAATGCCTGTCCTTATTGCACTGAATTATAAGCTTTTGAGAATCGCTGCTTACTCATAGTCAGAAGAGGCATATTACTTTGTCAGCATATTCTGAAAATATTCTCTGTATATTCTTAATCTTCTAGAAATGACTGAGCCTGTCCTGGCTTGGGGATCAAACACTGTATGGCATTTCAAATTTATAGATCCCCCGCTATTTTCATAAAAGGGTCTTGTTTTTTGAATTTTTCTGGGACAGTGTATTTTGATTTTTTTTTCTGCATTTTCTGCTTATTTTTCCCATGTACTTTTTGAGAAGGATGTCAAGAGTGGGATTAATTTCCCCTGATGTTACACCTCTAAAAACATAGGTGTTGTATATCTGAGCTGGTCACTATAGGCTTCTTTAGTCAGTGAAGAGAGATGGATGGGAGGATTCCCATAGACTCTTTTTATTTCTGTCTTTAGATGAGATGATTCATCCTTTGGAGATGCCCGTTTCTGGTCACTGACAATAAAAGCAACCTAAGATGACTGGCACAAATTTAGACTTTTAACTTTTCTATTAAACATTAAGGCAGATAAATTCCACCTCATGTGACATAATGGGAACCTTAAGAGGCAGTAATGTTACCACTGACATTGATAAAAACATCCTGCTTTCACATGAGTAAACAAAATTATTTCAAAAAATTATTTCTTTATGCTCGTGGTGATACATACAAGCTTATTAAAAGCAAGTTTTGCATATTGCTTAGATATTGTATGTAACCATTAAATACTGTGCTTAATTCTATGAAGTATCAATAGATATTGGGTATTTTCTTATATTTGGTTTCTAGGTTAAGAAATGCAAATGTTTTAACTCTATGTCATTACTTAATTTCTAGTAAGATAATAAAAGAGATGTATCATGAGATTCTTGCATTGCTACTTTTTAGCTTGCAATAGAAGACTGAAAAAATCTGGTGTTAATATAACAGACAAAAATGCACTTCTAGCTGTTACATCAGTACTTGGTGGCTGAGATTTTCGCTGGTAAATACACAGAACTTCACTGAAGCTGACAAGCTGGCTCTTTATGTCGTTGGTACAAGTTTTATATGCTTGCATTTTTTCAAGCCTATAAGATTGTTTGGCTTTATTTGGACTGGTTTTGTATAATTCCCATACTTCTGCTACTTTAAGAGTGTTTAGTTTTGAATGGAATTTTATGCATTATCACAAGAAAACACTAAAAAGACCCCACATCTGAAAAAATTAAAAGGACGTTTCAGCCAAGGTGCCGCTAAACAGAGGATGTGGGAATAGTGAATAACTGCATATTTTTATTGAACTGTAAATTTTATGATTGACATTTTGTCCTGACCCTGTTAGAGATTCAAACTGAGGACATCCAACAGGCTGAGAATATCTGGGTCCAGTGAATGAGTTTGAGTACAGAAACCTGAAGAGTTATCTGTTCAAGAAACTCATTAATGACTGTATCAGAATTAACAGAGCAAATATTGTGCGTAGCATAGGCATCTAAATCATCAAAAGATTTTTAATAATTAAATTTCACATGGGATCAGTCCTATTCCATGTAGAAAGTGAATCAAGTTCTCATCACACTGTTATTCTGACTCAAAATTTGTAAGCAACCTGAAATTTCAAATAAGGAAAAGATGTTCTGATTGTTGCAGGCATTTTTGGAACATATAAATATTTATTGATAGGTGTTCTAAAACTAGCTATGTACTAAGCATCTTGTTTCAAGTTACACACATGCAGGAGAGGAAGGAAAACTTTTTGCCAGCATGTCTTTATTTCTTCAGCCTATGTAAGCTCTCTTGTCTCTAATGGATTTTGGATGATTAGATTTCTGAAATAGTTGAGAGCATTGATTAATTGGACCTTATGCCATTCGGACTGTCAAATTTCTTCATTTTCTACTTTGTGAGAGGTAGAGTTGTATTACTTTGATTTTAGAGTTCTTTCCTGTGGGATAAGGGAGTGAAAGCTGGGTTATAGGCTAAATAAGGATGCCAGCTAAGCATATGCCTTTTGCTAAAATGACATTTTTATAGAGTTTGGTGTCCTCCTGCATGCAGTTCAGTTCCCTGGCATTGAGCTGTTCAGGAATTGGAAATGGTATGAAACATACATTTGTGATGGAACAAAATATTCTTCACATAAGTAAATACTTATATAGGATTACTGTCTGTTGGTAAAGACCTGCAGTGTTATGCTTCAGAGGTAGAAGCGTTTGGATGGTAAAGAAGGGATTCTTGTATACGGTTAACAAAGCATGGTGATATCCTTTGCAGCATAATTCGTGACATATAGTAATAGTAATAATACACTGCATTTCGTCTGAGGATTTCAAAGAAATATAGGAAACATCACTGAATTAAGTACCACCTTAACCCCCTGTGGGAGCACTGTTAAGACTTGGGTCTTATGCAGAAATGAATGCAGAAATACCATGTCATTTTTATGGTATATTGGTCACTGTACCCTTGCTGTACGCAGGTAATTCAGGAACCTT